CCCCTAAACCCTATATAAACCCTAAACCCCTGAACCCTCAACGGATCCATCAGGGTTCAATGAAAAATGAGGGATCCATAAGGATGAGGGATCTGCAGGGGTTTAGGGTCGGTTTTGGAGAGGCCCGTTTAGCGGTTCTATAAGAGTTCTATAAGTAGACGGGATCTATAAGGGCTTAGGGTTATAAAGTGTTTGAGGGTTTCGGGCTTTCAGTGATTCTTGAATCTTAGCAGTTTGCTTGTTCAGGCTTTGTAGCTTTACGGTGCTAGGGTAGTTTCGGGGCCTGAATAATTAGTAAAGAGCTTTGTAGCATAGTTTACTATATAAGTAATAAGGAATCCCAAAATAGTATAGGTGATTATTTAAGCCCCTAAACCCTAAACCCTAAATCCTAAACCCTATTGTCTAAGCCCCCTTTATAGGAGGCCTAGGGTATAGGGTGTCGGGTGCTAAGGGTTTTGGGCTGCAAGGCTCCGGGCCTTTTGGGGTTGTTGAGGTTGTATGGTTTAGGGTTCGTGGTGTAGGGCTCAGGCTTATGGTGTGGGGTTTAGGGTTTAGGGTCCTGAGGATGGATCTGTTGATCGGAATTTGGGAGAGCTGTAAGTGTTCCAGGGTTGCTAGAAGGGTCAACACAAGGGTTACTAGAAGACTTCAAGGCTTACAACAACCACGTGTCCGTGAAGTGGGGAGATCTTCGGTTGCTGCGCCTGGAAGGGAATGGACCACACGAAAAGGGCAGGAGAACGAAACATCCAACATCATCCAAAGTCCGAAGGGTTTGAGGTTTAGGGTTTAGGGCTTATAGTTTAGGGTTTAGGGTTTAGGGTTAGGTTTTAGGGTTTAGGGTATAGGGTATAGAGTTTAGGGTTTTATAGGGTTTAGAACTCCTTCAACCGGCCAGCGAATCTTGACAGTACTGGTATACTGATATAATGCAAAAGCGAGATAGTGGGACAATGCTACAGCAGATTAGGCCATGAATGAAAAGCTGCGCGGATGCAACCGGGTAGTTTGTTTGGAGGCAAGAGAGAGTCCTGTGTTGGAGTTGCAAGGAGCCCCGAAAGATGCGACTGAGCCTTACATACCCAAAACCCCGGACCCGAAACGCCAAACGGCAAACACCCAAAACACCCGACTCCCAAACCATGAACCCCAAAGCAACAAATAGGATCCTCTCCAACCCAACCACTCCCACCCCCAAAAAAAACTGACAATCATAAATCTAGGTACACAAACACATCCTAAATCACCCCGCCCCCCCCCCAAGCAAAAAAAATAATAAATAAACAACAAACCCCCCCCCAATAAAAAAAAAACAGTAAGTAAAATAGAATAATAAATAAACAAACCACAAACCACCCAAAAAAAAAAGAGTTGTCTCTCGGCCAAAGGGACGACCATCGGCTCTTTGCGAAGCTCCGGAGAGGCCCAGGTGCCCTTCTCGAAGACCTACAGAGGCGAAGCTTCCGAAGGTGGAGGGTGATTGTTGTGTTAGGGGTTTAGGGTTTAGGGTTCCGGGCGTAGGGTTTAGGGTTCAGGGTTTAGGGTTTAGGGTTTAGGGTTCACAGCATAGAGTTTAGGGTTTGGGCTTTAGTGTTTCATGTTAGGGCTTACAGGGGACAGGCAAGATAGGGGTCTTACTATTTAGAATAGAGCTTGGGGTCTATTATTATACTGTAATCATGATAGGGAGCCCTCAGGAATCATATGGGTAATGACAAGGCTTCAATATGAATTGCTTTCATCTGCTTTCGGAAGCTTTGGGAAAGGCCTGTGAAGGTTGAATGCCATAAGTGTACTATAAAGCTTTGCTAAACAAGGGTTTTGAATCGGGTTGATAGGGATTTTAGTGGGTTTAATTTTCGGGTGTTTGGAGTGAAGGGTTTGAGGGTTATACTGGGTATGAGCGAGTTGTTGGTTTAAGGCGTTCTGGTTCGAGGATGTCGGGTCTAAAGACGAAGGATTGAAGGTTGGGTGTTGTCCACCAGCCGGAACAATCCATGAATCCTACTGGTAGCAGATTTCGACTAGTTCCCTTCAGCTTCAACCCTTTACCCAACGAACATTCAACTACTGATCCGCCCAAACCCTCAACCAACACCAGGAGCATTATGGTAGCCTCATACATAGGGAATATAAAGTTTTGGGGTAGAAACAAAGGGGGCCATAAGTGTGAAGACTGCTCTAATGATTCCGACCACTATATTACTCTGTCGAGCCCACCCGCCTCCCAGGACAACACAAAACCCTCACAGCCCCGAATGCCCCAAAAGTTCGACTCACGCCTCACAACCTCAAAACTACGGAAGCCTAAACTTACAGAATCCACCCTACACCTGAACCCTGAAGCCCAAAACCCTACGTCCTGAAGTACGCCCTACACCTGACCCTGAAGCCTAAACCCTACATCCACAAAAACCGTGAAGTACAAACACCGCCACGGCCGCCTGGATGTCCTGAACTTCGGAAAGCTGATGCAGAGTGGTCCGCTTCCTTCTCTAGAACGTGTCTCCAGCCCGCTTTCGAAACTCCCATGTCAGCCTAATTTAGGGGCCTTAACAATTAGAATAGGCTTTGGGGGGGGTTCATTAGAGTATACTTATTACATAACGAACGTCTATTCCAGGGTATGCAGTTAAAGCGAACTGTGGACTACATGTGCTGGCTTCAAGTTTCAGCTTTGAGTTCTCGATTTCAAGTGTCCTCGGTTGGGAAATCAGAAACGGAACATGAAATCTAGGGTTTAGGGTTTAGGGTTTAGGATGAAATCTTCCAACATGTAAACCAACTTCTCTCACCACCAAGCAGCGCGCACACACACAGAGAAAGATGCCTCATCCCGTGTCCCAGATCCTAAAATCTTACACCTACAGTACTTCGAAAACCGTAAGCACCGAACTCCACACCAATGCCATTAAGAGTCTTCTTGTTTTGCCTGCTGAAGAAGGTGATGTTCACCTCTGCAGGAAAACAGGCTGAGCTTGTGGAAGCCTAGGGCCTAAGTGGTTCAGACCTCATCACAAGTGCTTCTCTTAGAATCCTATGAGCCCTTCAAAATAGTCCCTCAATAGTTGGTGAAGAACTCATCCCAAATCCTCTTCTTAGAAGCCTAAGTAAGCCCTCCGGTAGTTGGTCAATAAGTAAGTCATCCTTCGGGTCTCTCACAGAGGCCTCTCAAAGAGTTCAGGGCACTAAGTTCGGAGTGCTACTGCCTTGAAACGGAAAGCTACGCTTTCAGGGTTCCGTGCCCCGAAATTTCTCGGAGTTGGGGGTGGAATTAGCAGTTGCAGCAAATCGGCCGCGGCATCTGCCCAGAATCAACTCATGGACTCCAGGAGCATCCTGTAATATGCCCGATCCATCATATCAGTCTGTTCTCCAGCGGGTTGGGCTTTACGGCTTGAAGCGTTCAGGGCTTGGGGTTTAGAGCTTAGGTTTCTTGGTATGCGATTTGCGACAACCCAACCGGCACCGTCTGGTTGGCGCCCTCGGCCGCGCAGGATGCAGCGGCAGCGGCAACAGCAGGGAGGACAACGGCCGCGAGCCATCGCAGGGGCATCGCCGAAAAGGCACGATGCAGAAAAACACGGGAGAAGGGCTATCGCGCCCCAAACCCTGAACTCTTAAACCCTACCCTATTTTGCGCCTTTGGACAAGGGTGTTCTTTGGGGTTGAAAGGACCTCTGGGAAAGAAGGTCGCGTTGCTTGGTGTGTCGCATTGAGATGCTAGAATCCAAAGGTCTGAATGCACTCACATATTCTGAAGGATTCACGGCTTCTGTTCGCGGTATGGGTATTCTTGTTAGATATCTTAAGTGCGACGACGACGATTTTGACCACCAACACCATCACTAAAGACACTGCACATGCTGGGATAGCAGTAACGCTCGTGCAATGATGCTGACGACCGCTATTTGTGTAACGTCTGATCCTTGCTAGGCTTATTCTCGTAAGAGCTGACGTTGATACCATTCTGCGTCCTCTTGCTACGATTTGTAAGTAGTGCATGTGGTGTAGGCATTGCTTCCATCACGCCGGCAAAGGGCTCGCTTTCGCAGGGCTCTTCAAACGTTACAAGCTGTGGTTTTGCAAATGGCCACGAGCGCCTGGGGCAGGTATGGCAACACACCAACATGGCCGATCGTAGAGCGACTATCTGCAACATTACACAACTCCACGGATGTGCAAAGATCGAGATAACATGTGTAAACAAATCAATGAATAAATAAATATATGCTACATAATGCACAACTTCACGGATATGCAAACATCGAGATTACATGTGTAAACAAACCAATGGACCAATGAACAAATAAATACATGTTAGATAAATACGTCAATAGATAAATAACAAACAAAATCGTTTATACATATATATATATATACACACACATAAAGACACGTGCGCACAAACGTGCATGCATGCATATCACAGAGGGTTCAGCTGGAGCTTCGCTGTTTCGTCGAACCCCGTATTTCAGGCTCAGGGTCTACACGAGGGCAAACCTCGGCGGGCGCCTGCCAACCCTTGGGACCTTCGCCAGCTTTTTATATGTGGCTTTTCCTTGCTAGGTTAGACTTCTTCCCATCTGATTCCCGTCAGCTACACTCGCCTTAACCCTAAACCACAAACATATGTCCCCCACCTGAACCCGGCGAAGATCCGAAACCTCAAGCCCTCAACCGGGCGCAGCTTTGGGGCTAGAGCCTTTAACTGCCTTTCTAAACACAAATGACACAAATGTCCTCGCCAAAAACCTGAGAGTTTGAGGCTTCCAGTTCAAGATTCAAGGGTTTTTTGTTTAAGGAGTTTCGGTCCAGGCCTCAGGTTTGTTTTGTCTTGGGCACAGCCCCGTTTCCCCCTCCCCGAAACCCCTAAACCCTAAACTCCTAAACCCCGAAACCCCTAAACCCCTAAACCCCTAAACCCCTCAACCCCGAAACCCTAAACCCCTAAAACCCTAAACCCCTAAACCCTCCCGCAGGCCCGGCAGCGCGGCCTCCACGAGCTGACAGCCTGGTGCAGCCCGGCCTGGCAGAGATTTTCCGCCGGAGGCGTCGGTAGGGTTTGGGGTTTAGGGTTTAGGGTTTAGGGTTTAGCATTTTTCAGGGTTTAGGGGTTTTGTGGGGGTTTGCTGTTCCTTTGGGGGGCTTTGGGGGGTGTAGTTATTTTAGGGCCATGGTTCTTCCGCTCTTGGGGTTTTTGTTCTGTGGGATGTCGAGTTTGTTGGGGTTGTTGGGGTGTTTGGGATGTAAACTGGGAGTTTGTGATGATGGTTCTTACACTGGCAGCACTGATCTTGGGGCTTCTAGCCATGAGGGGCTTCAGCTCTGAGTTTGCAATTCCTGCAAACCCTGCTAAACCCTAAGCCCTAAACCCTGAATCCTAAACTCCAAACCCTGAACCCTAAACCCTCAATCCTAAACCCTAAACTAAACCCTAAACTCTAAACCTGAAAGCCACTGCTCCCCGGAGTAGATGGTGCTCTCACGTCTCTCGGCGAACATGCGGCGATGTCTGCCCACAGTTTATTTCCCTGAGGCTGAACAGTGCTTGGCCTTTTGGCTGAATTTCAAAGCCTACGGCTTCAGGTGCAAGGTTCACGGGTTTTTGGTTGTGGCAGAGAGTATCTGTTCTAGCGGCGCGGGTTTGATGGACTCGCGGTGTCGCCAGGATCCTGTCCCCCCTCTACAAAAAAGGCAAATCCCCGGTTTGGGGGCTCGGGACTCAGGGCTTGAATTTAGGGGCCTTAATCATTAGAATAGGGTTTTGGGGGTATATTATACTATAATTCAAACAAGGAATCCCCAAAGTAGTATTGGCAATTCTTTAGGCCCCTACAGTAGGAGTCAGGGCTGTGGAGGATTGGGTTCGCGGGTTCAGGTCCCTCAGGCCTGCGTTGTTCCCACATACCTCAGCAGGTGGCAGAAGCAGACCAGGTGTTGGGGCAAGCGCTTTGTTCAGGGTTTGTATAGACGGTTAGGGATTTTTGGGGAACGGGTCACCAGATACGGTTTGGGATTTTTGGGGCACGGATCAGCAGCCCTTTTCTGACTTGGCTTTCCTCAAGACCTGCGCTACGAGTTGGGATGGCGGGCGCTAACGTCCCTTGAGGGTTTAGGGTATAATATATGGGCCTAAATAACTACCCATAATATGATTTTGGGGGTTCCTTATTATGAATATAGTATACTGGATCAGACTGTAAAACGCTTCTCAAATGCCAGGGTCTTAAAACGGGCACCCCCTGCACAGAGCAGGGCTTTCGAACATGTCAAAACCGAGGGGACGTCAGGAGCCTTATAGAAGGTCTATATACCTTATAGAAGCCTTGCAGAAGCCCTATATACCCTCAACTCCCCACCTGCAGTTTCCTTTAACCCTAGGTTTGAGGGCGCACCAAAACCTCTGGAAGGCGGGCCCATGAAGCCTACGACAGACTTCGAGAACTCCGGAGGGAAGCCCCATGCATAGCATCCGACGGCGAGCTGTCAATAACGTAGGGGCCTTCAGAATTAGACTAGGCTTTCGGGGTCCATTATACTATAATTCTAATAAGGAACCCTAAACCCTAAACCCTAAACCCCCAAAACTATAATTATAATAAGGAGCCCTAAACCCTAAACCCCCAAAATAGTATTGGTAAGTATTTAGGCCCCTGTAACACCGAACCTCTCCTCAGCCCTGAACGCCAAACCCCAGAGCCTGGACCCTCGAAGCTTAAACCCCGAAGCCTGAAGCCTAAACCCCCAACACACACTTAGAATAGGGTTTTGGGGGTTCCTTATTATAGTTATAGTATAATGGGCCCCAAAACCCTATTCAAATTATTAATTCCCCTATATTAGTAAAATAGAGGCCTTAATAATTAGAATAGGGTTTGGGGGTATACTCTACTATAGTTGTAATAAGGAGCTCCCAAAACACACACACACACACACACACACACATACACATACACACCTTGCCGTTTCCGCCTTGAACTCTGTACAGTATGACCCTGAACCCTCCAACTTGCCGCCCCAACACACACATAATGTAGGGGCCTTAATAAGTATTAGAATAGGGTTTGGGGGTATACTCTACTCCCTAACCCCCAAAACTATAATTATAATAAGGAACCCTAAACCCTAAACCATAAACCTTGAACCCTAAACCCTAAACCCTGAACCCTAAACCCTAAACCCTAAACCCTGAACCCTCCAACTTGCAGCCCCGGCACGTCGGGCTGCCGAGAGGCTGCGCCACCCAGCGCTCGGCCCGGAACCTGCGGGTTGCGGCTTGGAATCGACAGTTTCGGGTTTTAGGTTTTAGGGTTTAGGGTTTAGGGTTTAGGGTTTTTTTTAAAGTGCACTGGCCTTTTCTGTGTTTAGGTTTTAGGGTTTAGGGTTTTGGGTTAAGGCTTTGGGGCTTTAGGGCTTTGGGTTTAGGCTTTAGGGCTGTAGGGTTTTGGGTTTAAGGCTTTAGGGCTTAAGGGCTTTGGGGCTTTAGGGCTTCAGGACTTTAGAGTTCGGGGTTTTGGGTTGAGCTTTCGGGTCCTGGGATGTTAAGGATCAGCCAACATCAGTATACTCATGCTCAGAAAGATAGTTTAGAGATTCCCAGCACCAACTACACCTTTTTCACATTCCGAATCTTAAGAACTTACTACGGGGTCTTGATGGTTCTGGAACTATACAGGGCTTTACGGTTTTAGGGTTTAAGGCTCCGGAGGCACAAGATTCGAGGTAGGTAAGATTAGGGGTTTGAAGGGCTTTCCTGGTGCCTTTCTCGCCGTTTAGAGCTTTGGGCTTGGGGAAAATTTGGAGTTGCTTGGGCTTTGGGATTTAATGTAGGGGCCTTAGTAATTAGAAGAGGGTTTTGGGGTATATTATACTATTAGGCCCCCCAAAATAGCATAGGTAATTTTTAAGGGCCCCATATTAGGCCTGGAGGCTCGTTGGCATTGTGAGCCTCTCCGCGGGGATTGGGCTGTAGCATTTCCTCCTCCATGAAGCAGAGGGAGGGAACTATGGATATGGAAGCTGCGGTTTAGGTTTGGGGTCGGGTTTCCCGCTTCTTCTTAATCAAAACAACCAACGGAAATAGGAAAAGTTGAAAAGATACCTCCCACAGCCCGAAAGATATTGTGGAACCCTGAACCCGAACCCATGCGCCCCAAACGCAGTAAACCAACAGTCATCCCAACCCAGAAAAAAACCCTCAACCCTTAGACAACAATCCCATGCTAAGCTGCTGAGTTCAGAAGCCCCAAAATAGGTAAACTTTCACTTGTCTAGGGGATACTATCATCTCAAGAAGGTCTTAGATGTACCCCTTCAGCGACTAAGCCTCCACCTCGGAATCCCACGACAAGGCCTTACCGTGAGCCGCAGACGGAGCTCGATCATCGAGGGCAAAGCCTGGCAAAAGGTCTTCGACGTGCGCGGCCGCGGCAGAACGTACAAAGTTTAGAAGTCGTTTCGGGATTTCGGGTCCCCTAACCCCCCAGGTACCTACTATATAGGGCCCTAGGGGAAAAATGCAACGTACAGCAATCAGCACTGGGAAGCATGCGCTGCTGGCCTTCACTGCGGTGTTTCAGGATCTACACACAAGGAATAGAGTGTTGTCGCAGTTTCACAGGAGAGTCGCATGCCGAGCTTGACACATCACTACTTTGCAGCAAGTTGTTGGATCAGCTGCACTGCCCTCGCACAGCTCACGCCCTGCCCCCCATGAACGACATCCGACCGGTCTTGCGGTCCGCGACTCCGAGCCCTGGATCCTATTCCCCCTATGGGTTTAGGGTCTAGGGTTTCGAGTTTAAGGTTTATTTTTTAGGGGTTTTGGGGTTCAGGGCTAAAAGACTTCAATAACAAAGGACGGCACACGGAAACACTCCTAAAACTGAACCTCCACACCCCCAACTCCTACGCTCGAGACACCAACGGGCCCCGACCTCCATGACTGCAGTTGGCAGAGTCACCTGCAGAGACTAGGAATCTGATGAAACTCGTGGAGGGTTTAGGGTTTAGGGTTTAGGGTTCCACGCCTGGGGTTATATCATTCAAGGCAGCTTCGGCTCATGGAGATTCAGGAAGTTCAGAGACCCTCTTTCCGGGTGATCTCCACAAACAAGGGGGCCGAGGACTTCGGCCTGTGCTAAGTTTCCTCCGTCTCTTGGAGCTTCTAGGCTGAGGGCGCAGGAATGCTAAATTACGATAGGATAGGGGCCTTGATGCTTAGAATCGGGTTTCCGTAAAGGGTCTAGGTTTGGGTTCGGGTGGTCCCCCCTCAATAAGTAGAATTCAGGTTTTATGGCAAACGATGATTAGAACCTCTGAAGCACTGAAGCACTACATTTCTCCCTCATGGTCCTGAATAACAATGTTGAGTCCACAACAACCTTAAAACCCGAACCCCCAAACCCCACGGCCCAAACTTCAACCTCAAACCCGAAACCCCAGGCCTAAAACCTGAAACCTCGCGAGCCTTGGGTGTCTGGGTGAACCCCTAAACCCTAAAGCCCTAAAGCCCTAAAGCCCTAAAGCCCTAAACCCTAAACCCTAAACCCCAAACCCTAAAACCCTAAAGCCCTAAACCCAAAAGCCCTAAAGCCCTTAACCCTAAACCCCTAAAACCCTAAAACCCTAAAGTCCTAAAACCCTAAAGCCCTAAACCCTAAAACCCTAAACCCCTTAAGGCCTGAAACCCTTAAAGCCCTAAAGCCCTAAACCCCTAAACCCTAATTCCCAAAGCCCTAAACCCTGAAACCCTAAACCCTAAACCCTAAACCCCAAACCCTAAAACCCTAAACCCTAAACCCTAAAACCCTAATTCCCAAAGCCCTAAACCCCTAAACCCTAAACCCAAAACCCTAAACCCTAAAGCCCTAAACCCCTAAAACCCAAAGCCCTAAACCCTAAACCCTAAACCCTAAAACCCTAAACCCTAAACCCCTAAAGCCCAAAGCCCCCAAACCCTAGACTCCGAGGCCCTGCTTGAGGGCCTTCCATTCCCTGATCC